AAACAAAGCAAGTTAATAGAACCTGACACTCATTTCCATTCTGAAGAGTTAAAATAATTTGGTTATTGCAGTTGGTAATAAAAATACTTTGACTATGTCCCTTATTATTTATTAGAAATAATATAGTTATTATGTCATTGTGATAACTGTTATGCCAGTCTTCAAGGGAGCGGAATGGCTTCTGTATTGTCTTGTGAGATTAGTCCAAAGCATATGCCCCTATTCCAGCTTCTGATAGGTATTGCATATGTTGTCAGCTGAAGAAGGGTCGTAAAAACTACCGTATATTTCCGGATATAAAGCGCAAGCATGATTAAGGATCTCTGAAGGTAGGCCGTGTTTTATGAGGATTTCTTGGGACCTATTTATAACCTCAAAACCACCAAACTCTGATGGCAGAATACCTTCATTTTGATAGTATCACATGACACTTGATTCTTAGATGCACATGCAGTCTATGATGGCGAGATATCTATTTCGTTTAAAAAACAATTTGATAACATGATATAAATGGTGAAAGGGGATAATGATAATGATACAAGAAGGTGTGATGGATTCGAAGTAAGTAAATATGTTTGAATCCCTGCAGAAGAATCCCCTATAAAATGGAGCAACGTTTTTCTGACCCCACTGTAACCAGCTGTAGAAATAGCTATCAGAGGCTGGAATAAAGGTAGATGTTTCTGTTTGATGACACCGCCAGTTAATCAATTTTTTTCCTCGCCAGCGCTGGGATTATTTGCTGCGAATAAAAGGTGTATTCTATGAGCATTAAAGTAGTCTACCAAGTCCACTGAATTAAACATTGGTTGATTTGAATTGGACCAGTGAAATCCGATTGGTTAAAGCAGAGGTCACCAGGCTAGGTCAAAGGTTACTAATACATAAAAACAAGAGCGGAGTTAGACCCGAGCTAGAGTAGATAAATAAAAGTAAAAGCTAAAAAAAATCAAACAAAAGTTCTAATTTTAATAAGAAACTTCTCCTAAAAATCACCAGTTGTCTAAAATTGAAAGAAAATATGTAATAGTAGCCATCCCTCATCTTTCACTGACGAATTTACAAACTGGTGGAATTTTCGTATGGTCTTTGTCTTTATTCCAGCATTGCATATTAATTTATTACATGTATTTGAACAACATATCGGATTACATGTAGATTGTTTATTAACCCTATGTTAAAATATGTCAAAGTTTGTTACTAAGATAAAATGAAACTGATCAGTCTTATTTTATTGATAACTATTGCCAGTGCTGTTATATATTATATTATCATGTAAATAACTTGATTATGCAATACAAATTATTTTTCCTTACATTCTCACTTTTATCTAAGTATTGGAAAGCTACCCTTATTTCTGTCCTGAAGGTTGGATCTACATTGGAATCTCATTTACCTGGGTATGTCAGGTATTTGTCATGCATGTGCCATTGTATCTAGGCTGTGATTTTGGAGTCTGATGCCATAAGTGTGATTATGAGGCTACAATATACGAAGCCTATTTTAGATACCTCGGATCTGCAAAATCAAGATATATTTGATGAATATTTTTTACCATCATTTTCTTCCTACATTATTAATGTCGCGTCTCCGGTTCCGCCAGAGTTTTCTGTAACGAAACTGATCTCGCATCGGTCATTTAAAACAAATGTTAATATGATGCCCAACGCTAATTAATAGTCACCGTAAAGGTAATTTACGCAATAAACGCGTTCAATTTTTAGCACGTTAACACTCTAGAAGGCGCACATTCTTGACGGATTTTGACGTGAGTGTCTGAAATCACCCAAGGATCAAATACTGAAAAACGCCGGGATTTTGTGACTCGAACTTTTGTGCTAATGCTTCTCGGTGTGCACCTTTTTTAACTTCACAAAATCCC